CACCATTGACCCTAGTTCTATCATTCTGGCAGAGAGCTGCCCTCGTTTGTGGGTCTTCCAACTGTCGTCTGCTTCTTCCCTCGGGTGTTGTCTGCTCAGTTGGAGGCCCGCGACGCGAAAATCGACTTCATTGTCCAAATAAGTAAATTGAAACTCTGAGAAAAGCCATGAATTGGGCATTCATCGCTCTTATTATTGTTTATGACACAACAGAAGGCGTGTATGTGAGAGAATTGAGGTATTATGTTCTAATGCTCAAATCCCAGGCAAATAACTACCTGACCGCTGCCCCTCTGCCACAAAAATTGGATTAGATGGCGCTCACAATGTAAAAGGAGTTGCACTTGCTTTCTCGCATCAAGTAATAAAAATCAGCTCAAATTGGTAGAATAAGAGTCTATTCATCAGCAGCTTTCGGATTTATGATTCTGCTTGCTGGTTTTAATTATCAAAGGAAGACGTACGAAACTTCATGGAACGCTAATGGTTTCCAAAGGTCTGAGTTTATTTGCAGAGCGATAAACTTACAATATGGAGGAATGTCTTACATAATATACCACAAAGCCCCTTGGGTTATCGGTGCATTTAGGCACCACTTTGTCAACCGTTTACAGAGCATATCCCGTGTACACATACTTCCCGGGCTGCTATCCTCATAACTAATCTGTCATCTTTGACACACAGGACTGATGTAACATGTCTGACTTTGGCTGCCCTAGGTTCTTTCCAGTGTCTGGCCACTCGAGGCAAAGAAGAATTGTTTTTAAGTTATGAAATCTAATTATAATAAGGACTATTAGGGAGGACAGTTCCCTAAAACCGATATGCTATATGACAATTGGTAAGTCTTGCGTCACAGAGGAAAGCCCCGGGATTGATTCAAATGCCAGCGACTCAAAATGCGGCAGTCCATCAGGCATGCAGCGTCGTTATGTGGAGCTGACGTCCTGATTATAGAATATTTACAGATGTAAATCTCCTGTCACACCATCCATCTAACGACATATCTGTCTGGAACATCGGAGAGACAGGCAGCGCGCGAGACCTGCATGGCGAGCGTTAGCACGCACTTCATTAGACTCACGACGTGTATGTTTCGCATCAACGTAACGGATCGTCATATTTCTGTCATGTTGAACATGTAGCTTCGGATTCCACACACAGTACCGTGTTGGATAACGAGCGTGTTATTTGAAACACTGGAGGAGACAGATCCCACTGCATGTCAAGCATTACACTTTATCTGAATCCACATATGATAATAAATACGTTAATATTTTTTCTGTAACCGAAATGTCAAAGCTCAGTAAGTTAAAATTCACAGCCCCTTTCGGGTCTTTCAACTTCACTTGATTTTGGAGTGTTAAAAATCCCATTCCTTACCACAATTCTCATACCTTGTACATTAACATATATCCAAGTCTGTAGAGAGTTTTGGCACTACAAAAAAGGGAAATGTATCCAGAATTCTTTAAATGTAATAAAGCCGTTGCAACACCTCACTGTAGGAACCAAAGAGGTGAGGTGAAATGGTGTTTAACGTTGCGTCCAAGATTATTGCACTTATATAGCGACGTGCATGCACGTGTGTGTGTTTGTGTGGCTGCTTGAACTAGTCCGGACTAATGCCGATTTATAGTGCTAGCCCAGTGAGATACCATGCCGCTGTTTAACATGAATACCCCACTTAGACACAGTATACTGACTCCGAGCCGACCAGTCCTTGTTTTAGCCCCTTAATGCCGAGCGCCAGACAGGGTAACAACATCTTTTAACATCTTTTGGTATAACACGGCCGATGATCGAACCCCGGACCTTCCGCACTCCGGGCGGACGCTCTACCACTAGACCACGGAGGCGGTAAGGTACCAAATACGATGTTGTGGAAGTTCCGTTCACCTAATTGTTTTCTTAATCTCCCGCCATATATATATATATATACTAGTCTAAATGTAGTGCATGTCAACCCTACCTGTAACTGACGTGTCAGCACGCGAAGCACGTGAATTCCATAGCAACCAAACCGAACCAAACAAATAATTTGTCACACTCTTAGCTCCAGGTTCCGACGCCACCAATGAGCCTCTCAGTGCCAGGATGCTCCCGGCCAGGGAAACAACCAACAAAACTGGAGAGGTAACTGATTGCGCAAGTCTCTGGCCATGGCGCACAAAGCATTGTTAATGGACTTGAGCAAAGCCGCGCAGAGTAACAGAAGTGACAGCCAAATGCATTAGGAAAATGAAACCTTGCCCGATGCGAAGTCACGCGCGGGCGATATTTTACATCTTGTTTGGAGTGCCATACATATTCATTTTAAATCTGACCAGCCAAACGTTATTCCACATGCATATTTTGAAACTAAATCATCCGTATTTGCTTCTCAGATCCATGCACGAAGTGCAGCCTAATTTTGAACGGATGCCTCACTGGGATAACATTACAACGCATGGACACTCTCAGCCATTATCATGATGTTTGCAAATGGTTGAGTTGGAAAGATAACAAAGTTGTTTGGATTGTGACGTCACCGCGTTATCGAATAGCTGTTGTCTTATTCGGAATTATTGTTTGTCTGTTCAACTTATGTTAAATGTCAAGATGACAAAAACTACACCCAGCAACCTCGCACGCATGCCGAGTAAATCAGTGTTACCCAAGTTTTATTTCTTAGAGATGTTAATAACTGTGTATATCAATACAAGATATGTTTAATCACTCATTCGCAGTAAGTCTTTTGCCCAAAGACGATGTATTACTTGAGGGAAAACGAAGGTTTAAATTAAATTAAATGTTTACATTATGTCAAACAAGGCCAACGCAAGAGAAAACAGCGGGGAATGCACATTAGAATGATTTCGTTTATCACGTTTGCTATACTATCCAACATTTCGTTTCTCTTTTAAAGACATAATGCATGTTACGAAGGAGATTGAAACATTGAGAGAGTTACCTATTTAAGTGTATATTGTTATTGTCAGGCCATGTCTAAAACAAAAGGCCAAATCAATAAAGAGCGAGCTCTATAGGAAAATGAAGCTTACCTGCCTACGGCGTCCCCAAATGTAATTACAAACCGACAGACGAGCTCAACGATAACTAATTTTCCTCTCACGGTTAATACTATTTACTACAAAATGGCGGCAACGTTCATCGATTGAGATAGTAGTCACGTTGGTACGGAACGCTTTTAGCTATTTTGGTGGGAGTAATTATACTGTAAGGACTAAGTGTTGCATAATTGAAGGTTAGTTTTGTTTCAAATTGACATCGGGCATTAGTGTACATGATGTTCGCAGTTAACCCTCGGATAACAAGTGTGTATATATGCCATTGTTTGGCCCATCGATGTGCTGGCATAGCTGATTATCGTTTAACATAAAACATGCATGTTTGCACTAAAATTTAATATAATTTTAGCATTGTTATGAAATATGTATCATGATATATTGTAAGCTAACAAGCATGAGCGCTGGTTCATAATTAGTAAAAAAGAAACGTTTTAACAGGTAGAATCTTAAACCTTATGCAGTAAATCAATTTATTTAATGCATATACTAAAGGAATTAATAAACACTTTTTTTTAAAAGAAACACGTCCTGTAAATATCAGGATTGTAAATATTTATGTTCTGCAATCGAACATCACGTTATTTACAGCAGGTGTGAGTAAATATTATCCGAATCTTGAAGCAACATATTTGCTAGATTTTTTTTGTCTTAATGTTTGCACAGCTTAGTTTATCACATCTAAATACCTGCACTGAAATTCAGGCCTCCTTTATCCAAAAGAAATATGTTTGTATAGATTTAAATTATGACACTCGACTCTGTTGAATGTTCTATCCTACCATTTCAATCTCTAATAAAACGCAAGTGGACATGTTTGCACTGCAATTGAGCTTTTATTTACAATTTGGATTCGTCTTCTGCAAACTAGAACGGTGTGGTAAGCTGGTGGTTAAAACATCGCCTCGTCATGCCAACCCCTTGGTTCGATTCCCTGTGATGCCCATTCTTGGTGTCGAGATATGTTTCTTAAAACTACGTAAAACAAGTCACTCCCTTGATGCAAACTGTTTGAGGTAGCAACCGATCATGCAGTAAAAAGAAACTTAGATGTATAAGCAATATTTGCTGAGACTAAATGATAATCAAAATTTGTGTAGGCGCCGCTACACAACTATACCCTTGCTAAAAGATTAGTTAATCCACACAGCTGTAAATCACTCTGCATATTGAAAGCAGTAGTATAGCGTATACCATTCACTATTAACTTCTTTAGGTTCCTTTTACTCGGACATTAATGTGAGATATGAATTTTACAAAACATCGATAACATATTTTCATAAAAATGAAATTGGTTTCATCGGCATTTGTATTAGGACATAAAGAATCCAATATATCCTTTGTTTAAATTCCTAAAATCTGTAACATCCAAACGTGACATCACTAGCTGCTGCAGACAAAAATCTGCAAATCTGCAGAACAATTTCCTAAATTCCAGATTAATAAATAGGATGAAGCTCATGTATGCAATTACACAGCTTGGTCTAAGTCTTCTATACTAAATCAAAGATAAGAATTCACTAAAAACAGCAGGTCTATTGTCCACCGGGTTTCATTCATGCCTCTAAAGAGTACCTATCTGTTTGGCCTAATGCACAGAACGCTCCTACTGGGATTTCCCACGTGGAGAGATGCCGATTTCTCCTTGTGAGACTGAAACAATTTCCTTGCGAGGATCAAGGTTTTATCTTCTGTCGATCAAATAAAATGAAACAATTCTATCAAGTAGGCATCACGACTAAGCTAGGTCTAGTAATAAAGCCATTAGGCTCTGCCCTAGATGGCTTTGAATATACCAGCTAATTTCCATTTTCACGACACCACACCATCGCCAACACAACACAGAAGATACTATACACAAGGCCAATGACATTAAGGTCTGAGAGACTAGCGAAAATAGGTTTCAGAAAGCAAGGACATGCGACGATTTACCGGTTTTGAAGGAACATCTTGGTTGGCAATCCTCGTACGGTCTCCTGAGACCTCATGTCAGGGAGAAAGACTGAATCTGCCCACAACTATGCTTTATGGCGATTTCATGCTCGTCTCCGGCCTGCCATCTCCTGTTGTGAGCCATCAATTTCACATCACAAAATGTTTATGCTGAATTATCTATCGATCGTGTTTGAGCCTGGAGCCTGCGAGTAATGAAGAGCGAGAGAACGCTGTCGACTGACGGAGGAGAGTGCGATCAGTGCCGAGAGAGGAGGCGGCCACGACTTCTTCTACAGGGATCAGTGAAAGATGTGCTCACTATGTCCTCTACATGTTGTAATCTGTGGAGGCATGTGAATATAGTTTTCGAGGACAGTGCGGGAACTGGAGCTTAAGGATTTAATCCGAACATGGAGTCCACGAACACTCTAAGGCAGCGAGATGGTTCGCGAGGCTTTCTAATCGTAGCTAGCTCCTATAGTCATTCTGTCCCTTTCATGTAGAGGACGGAAGGGGTGATTTTTCATTCTTTAAAATTCTTACTGGTTCAAACTGACTAGAAAACTGACTAGAATAAATAGAAGAGTGGCGTTTCTCAGCCCTGCCAACAGCATATGTTCCTAATTTCCCGCGCCTGTGTCGAGAAGCAGACGACAGAACGTCAGTTGGCGCGAAGAGAGCCCATGGTTCATTACAAGCGCCCACCATCGAGGTAATTGTGCCTGATAATCAAAACCAAGTTGAGAGCTCATATATCATCAAGTAAACAAGGCGCCGGGCTTGAGGGCTCACTGGCGAATCTGAAAATAGGCCACTTGCTTCAATGCGAGAGGGGCAGGAAAAATCGCCCTTTACTATCGAGAGGGTTTCCCCACGGGCATTAAACCAAGACGCGTGCTAGTTGCAGATTTCCCTCACAGAACAAACAATTTATACCCTGTGCATAACACACCGAGAAAATAATTCTAGTCTTTCATTCTCTCGTTTCACGCTCCTAAACGCACATGGTTGAATGGGAAGCAAATCAGGCGTGTGGTAGTTTACGACTGGGGAATAGAGCAACGATAACACCTTACCCTCAAGTAGTGGCTGTAGTAGACTCCGACTGCTAACCAATCTTGTTATCCAATGATTTGATATACTCGTAGAGCACGCAGATCCTGGACCGAGTCCGGGCGTTATGAGCCAATATATCACAGTGGGAATATAACTCAATACTTTACATGTAAACCATCCAGTAGAGAAACAGGAAACAAACCAACAAATCACAGCATGGACAAGCAAAGGTCATATGGCAGACTATGTAAAATGATCCTTCCAAACTAGCCGCCAGCTACCTGAGTAATACAACTCTGATCGGAATTTCACTTGTTCAAATTAGTCGGAAGGTGGTTGAGTAGACCGGAGACCCGACCAAGTCACTCTGGTATTATTTCCTCTTCCAAACTGTTCCCCCGAGGTAATGGCAGTCACACGTGGATGTTGAATAAAAGCGTAAAATGTGAATGGGGGATTGAGGCAGGTTTGCTAAAGATTGGTTTGTTGTCAGAGGCTTTCCCCTTTCTCCGGGAGATCTCCAATGTCTTGAGACTCCCTGAGCGTGTCTCGGTGCTAAAGTAAACTGTGGCGTGTTGGTGGAGCCTCGGCAGGCATGTGTCAACGCTACTTACCAACACCCACCCCGTTACGGCGGAGCATGTGGCTCGTATCAGACAGCGAAACAAAAACTTTGTTGACCCTAGGGTCGCAGAAAACGCGTGACAAACCTGAGTTTATCTTTCGGGACTGGGGTTCGACTCAGCCAATGGAGACGCCTGTTACACCGCCTCCCTCTGTCACCGCGGCTCTCCACATCAGCCGGCCCGCTAAATTGGTCTAAAGAAATTCGTCAACGCTTGAATTATGTCAACAAATGCCCATGCTCAAATACACGAGGTCGGACAATCAAAAGCGGTTAGGCTGTGAATCGCGTGTCAAATTTGTGAAGCAATAAAAACTAAGGCCCTCCTCCCTCCTACGTCCTTCTCACACGGTGTGTCGAGCTGCGGATACCACTCCAGCTACATATCCATTCCTTCAAACATATCCTTTATACCGAATCATTATATTCATCACAGTGTATATTCCGCATTTTCCTAACACTTACATTGAGCTGATGTTAATGGAAACTTTTCTTTAGTTGTTCTGGATTTGGGTTTTTCTTTTCTTTTTTTCTTGTTTTTGAGGGGTATTTGAGGGGGGGGGGGGGGGGGTCTGAGAAAAATAGAAATCACTGAAGTACAACAAAGTAGTATAGAGACATTGATTACGGAGTGTACACCTGAATAATAAGCTCTGCAACATACAAAATGTTTATACATCCCGAAACTCGTGAGGTTATTCTGGTGTCTTGACCGATTAAAACCACGTCTGAGCGATTGTAATAAACTTCATCGTGTGTGATAATTTCCTTAATCCTGTACAAAGTGAACAGATTTTATTTGAGGGAGGGGTGGGGATCAGGTTGAAGTAATTTTGCAATTGAAATTTCATGGAATATCGATTGATTGAAATTGATTTTAACAATCAGATAATTATCTGGGGACATTACATCCAAACTTTGCTAAATTGGTCAGTAACCTTATGTACGAAGTGCGACGAATGATTTCCCCTGTGTAAGCAAGCTGGTGCTGCAGCGGTTGACAACAAAGGAGAAACTGATACTAAATGTACCGCGGCAGGTAGGGCATAAAAAAACCAAATTTATCACTTTGTCACCCATTTCCCTCTTTATCCAAACGAGAGCATGGTTTGTTCAGCCCCCGATTAGTTCAGATCAATACGACGCTAAACCCTTTCTCGGCTCCCAGATAAACAAATGTCCGCACACCAAACACGCAACCCAGCAACATCGATAGAGAGAGACATCAGCTTTCTGTAGGTTGTCAACATGTCTAATGGTCGTATACACATTAGGGGCGAAGACTTTGGCATGCCTGGCCAGAAAGCTGTACAGATATAAGGATACGGTTATAACGCGATGGTGTAGTCAAATTGGGCAGGAAATAAGAAATCGAGGTAGATAAACTTACTAAATGGCAGATAATTGGACGTAGTTTTCGTCGACTTCATTTATTACCCATCACGACCCCGGGGATATCATTAATTTATTTGGCAGGTACGTGAAATTCAATACAGTGTGGTTGTAATTTGATTGAAAGTAGAGTAATTATGGGTGGGGGTAATAAGATACATGTATTTAGGCATAACCTTTGCATTTTGTATATGTCGCAACAGTGTGGACAAAAAACAACAATGAAAGTCAAATCACACATTATGCTAATTGGTACAGACGCATGCCACACAACACCAATGTACTTACATGCAGCTGTACTCATTAATGGGCATTAGGATGTCTATAGTACTGGGCATGTTTCACGTTATTTCGGACATATTTTCAACTTCGGAATACGCATCAGGGAAACCCTTACTTTTATGTTTTGGAGAAGGGAGTTTTCGATACAGGCGGGGGTGAAATCATACATGAGTATGAACCCACAGTAACCGTTGTGGCAATAGATAGTGATAGCCTCAGATAGTGAATGAATGTTATTTAACAATGCAGTTAGGAATATATTACCATGTCAAGCAACCAGCCAAGTCACAAGCCTAACCACCCAATCCCAATTTTAGTTGGCTTTTACGACATGCATGACGAAATCAGTTAGCTTTTGCTTTAGCAAAGTCATTCGCAAAGCCCTATGAATTATCAATGGTTTTGTTTGTTTATTATTTAACGGCACACTCAGCAATATTCCTGCTAGAAACTGTAAAATATGTGTTTAGAATGTACATACGTACGAGACATGACCGGGAATGTGTACAAATCCAAAACGGAATACACACTTGGTGTGTTTTTCTGTCTGAACACGTTTAGGGTCTTAACACTTGAAATGAGCTATTGTCTCACAGCATAAACACCACCTGAACACAACATCCCCATAATCTAAACATGTTTAAACATTTTTAGAATTAAAACCTGTTTAGGTTCTAGAGTTTTAACATATTTAGAATTTAATGACAGGACATGCATTAACCAATGCAGCTTCCTGACCACCCGACCCCCGTTAGTCGCCAATTACAAGCATGGGTTGCTGAAGACCAGTTCTGAGCCGGAATCTTCACGGGACTGTTATCAGCGGTATTCATTTTTACAGGAACAATAATAATTGTCACTGTTGAGAATCAGATTTCGCCTCGTCACATCCTGCACCTTGCTAAATCAGTTTCGTCTCGTTGCGTTGACAATACCATAAGTTATACTGCTCTCATATGTTAACATGAATTTATACCCCAGCTGTATATCTTTGAACCAAACAGTATTGGATAAATATAGTGGAGTGACGAGTTCCTGTCTTTTTGTATAAATATTAGCGATGAAACTCATCCCTTAGAAAAAACGACATAGCTCGCGGAAATATCTAGTTGTAGGCCTAGTGTATCATAAAGGAACTATTTGACATGTATGTGTAAAAACGTGGGCTACTTACGGCAGTGACATATCGGGCCGTGTAGGACCGGAACACAGAGAGGAAACCTCTTGGCGGAACACTTGTGCAAGTCGTATGCAGCATGTGATAACATTCAACTTCAAGGATTCAACCTCATATGCAGTCTAAATTCAGGTCATTATTACTCACATGCACCACGTGATTATAGGCATACGGGATGGAAAGCAAGAGACAAGATCGCGCATTCTGAATATACACCAAATGAGAGCTTCATACATATTTACAAATGTACATATAAAATGTGTCACAGCGTGATAAAAAAAACTTCTGGCGGAAGAGTAACATTCTCCAACTTTGTTTTTATAAATAGATTTATTGCTTTAAAAAGGTGATGATTTAGCCGCAGAACACATGCCTGGTTTTTTATGACAATGATTATCCGAGCACGTGTGCTATATATTCTAATGGAAAAAAATAATATAAGGAACGCATGTAGAATTATGTGAACTGCTGTGTTCAACATAAAAGCCTCATGCCAACAAAACTAAGTAACCGAGAGATATGTTAGTTCTGTCATGGTGTGTGTTCTTTACACTGTCACACAATCCCTGCGTATCTTCAGGGTACGCCTGATATTTTATGCCAAACACATGTTTCCCTTGGCGGTCCCTCCTTTTCTTCAACGAGCATCTATGTGTAGATTGAGCAGAACGAAAAATGCTCACCCTGACTACCTGCGACAATATAAACCCGCGGGACATTCCGGCATTCCACCTACAGTGCGCATGCGTCAGCATATCATTATTTCCGTTCCTCGCGTCTTGAAGTGTTACCATAAATCAGTGACTATTATCGGTTTAGTTTTTATCTACCAAACCACTTGCACATGGGCATGGGAAGCGTTGGGATGCCACTATGTCAGTAAACAGATAAATGGTCTAATTGAAGATAGCACCCCGAGTGCCAAGTGTCAAGTGAGCTATTTAGCTAGGCGGAGATAGGATTTGAAGCATATTAGAGTTCAATTCCAATGTCCGAACAACTCCATTTCCCATTCACGTGTCATGAGGATGGAAAGAAAAGTTCACAGTATGTAACAAGGTCGTGCATTTTATATCTAAAACTTTTGATTGACAACATTCCTTTGTAGTAAATGTGTTACCTTGGTTACACAG